TGGCATCATTGATGGACTCAAGTGTGGCAGCGGTAGTGAGGTTGGCCCAGGATTGGACATTGTTTCATTCTGCTGTGCATGGAGTCGCTATGAGTTGGTTCCGACTTGATGGCACCTGACAACAACAACGCTACCAGAGCTCCTTTAATAAACTCCATAATATTGAGATTATCAAACCCAGCAGAGAAGCAGACTCCCACTGCTATGGGAGGGGTGATTGGTGTAAGAAATGGTAAAAAGGTTGGAGAGTGGATGTGTGTTGCGTCCACCTTATAGAAATCCGTCCTTGGGCTGATGGTGATCTTAATGATTCTGCTCGACCCTTGTAAAATTAGACAAGGAGTTCTGATGTCATGCCATTTTTATAGCAGGGTACTTAGCCATACATATATGTAGGTACATGTAATAGCTTCAGGCTTCTGTATCATGGTCTTCACCATGCCTCCAACCTGTGGGCAACACCACAGTCACATTGTGTCCCCTTCACTTGCCAAGCTTTCAGCTCCCCACTCCCATTCCCAGAAGTACACCATACAGATATACAGTCTTGCCTCGGGAGCACACTGCACAGCATGCTGTATTTGAGAGGGATAAATGGTGGGAACCCTTCAGGGGGAGGCCCTGAATGGGCACTGACATTTTGCTGACATGACTCTTGCCTTTGGCCTTGTCCACAAGCTGCCATGTCACTGTACACACGACCTATGAGCTATAATGCCCATGTGCAATCACAGGAAGGATCTCTGTCCAGTGCACCTACACTACTTGTTCTGTGCAGAGCTGAGCTGGCTGCATCTTCACATCTGAGCACACCAGTTCCCTTCATAGGGCTGGCCAGGGCTTTGTTGGCTCGGCAGTGTGGGCTAGGGCTGCTGCTGCCCCGTCTTGTGTTACCCCTAAAACCACTGGCACTTCTAACTCAGTCTCTGCTTCCTGAGGACCAACTGACACTCAACAATCTGATAAATATCACTTGCAGGGTTTGTCATATCTTCTGGGGATCAGTAGGCATGCACCCACATTAGGGGTGATACTTTCTGCCCTAAGATCAACTCTTAGATCTTCTACAATGAGGAGTAGCGCAAGTGCTAGCAGCCCTTCCTCATTCTACTTGGGATACCTTCCCTTAGCTGGTGTCCAGATGTTGTTCCAGCATCTGCAAATATCAGATAGCCTCCTTTCTGTTAACATGTGGTAGAGTCATTTCCCAACTTCACGGAGCTGAACATGGATCTCCAGCTGCCAGGGGTCAACCTCAAGAGAACAGATTCCATTATTGTGTGCCACACACACGTGTGGGGCAGCCTGAGCCACAGACCGACTGAGAGGACCCTGACCCCCCCTTATCCTGCAGTGATGTGAGGTTTACCTCTCTGAAAGGGGCTCCCACATCTTGGATTTGGGAACAATAAATTCAGTCCCTGTAGCCCCCACAGAAAAGGGAATGAGCTCATTGGGGAGGTAGCAGCTTCAAGCTTCTGTATCATGGCCTTCTCCATACCTCCAGCCTGTGGGCAACATCATAGTCACATTGTGTCAAGCTTCCAGTCTCCTACCCCCATGCCCAGAAGTTTCCATCAATTTTCCCTATGCTGGGATTGGGAGATTGTGGGGAGGCTGAGGGTAGAACTCTCAGGTGGAGCCATCCAAGGAGGCAGAATCGGAGAAGTTTTGGTGCCTGGGGATGAGCAAATGGCCTGGGGGAGGGGATGGAGGCTAAGCTTTCTGTGGCCCTGGACCAGGTGGATGGAACTTGTGTGTGTGTGTGTGTGTGTGTGGTGGAGGAGGGAGGGGGGAGGGAAGATGAAGAAATTGAGAGATGTGAGCTAGACGGCTTTCTCAGACACCCGAATGACCACTTCCTCAGAACTTCAGGTACCTTTTCTGGAAACACCTGATAGTGACAGTCAGGCCCCTCCTTTCACCAACTCCTCCTGGGCCTGTGGCTGGAAGCTGCCAAGGGGTCTCTAAGCAATGGGGAAGGGGTTCACAGGGCTGGAAATCACCCAGCCCGGCCCTCCAAGTGCCCAAGTAGAAGCGGAGCCTCTTTCCAACCTGGCCTGGTGGTCCCAGGACGCCTCAGGTCAGAGCTAGTTTGCTGCGTGGGTGGGACAGCCCAGGCTGGTGGGTGTGGATACAATCCCAGGAAGGTGTAGGGTTGAGGTTGGAGACTTAGTGAGATAAGGTGCTTCCTCTCACCCTATCTGGAGATGAGAGGAAGTGTCTTAGAGGTTCAGAAGCTCAGCCAGGAACAATGGGGGCTCAACCAGGGGGCAGGACTCACTCGGAAGGGGGTACACGTGTGGGAAACTGGGGATCGCTTAGTGACGTGATACTTGATACCTCCGCCTACCAGCATCCGGCACCCAAGGCCGCAGACCCTGGCTGCCTTCCCCTCCCAGCGCAGTGAGGCGAGGGGCTCAGGAACCACACACGTCTCCTGCCTCCCTAGATCCCGCCACTCTAGCCCCGTGTGCCCAGCGCTCACAGATGCCTAGTACCCAGCGGCGGTGGTACTAGCACTGCTGATAGGTCCTGAAAAGACGTGTCGGGGGGCGTGTCTGGGGGCGTGCCGGGGGTGGGGGTGGAAGTGTCAGGATCCTCAAAAACCAGGGACAGGTCTGTCGGTTTTGGAGGGATGTGCTCGCTGGTGACCTGGTGCAGCGTCGCGCTCCTCTGGTCTCTCAGCCTGGGTCAGAACCCCAACGAGGGGTCGAGCTGCGGTCCCGGTCGCATTCTGCGCGGGAATGGGAACAACTCGCGCTGCTGCCGTACCTGCCCCCCAAGTAAGCCATGTGACAAGTCTCATTGCTAAGGAGGAAACAAGGACCCGGTGAGGTGGTCAAAGGCCTTCTTGGGAGGGAGCGAATGATTGGCTTCCAGCTTAGGGGCAAAGGGGTGAGAGAGTACACCCAGAGTGGGCTTGAAGTGACAGTGAGATCTCAAGGGACCCTGAGGTGACAGTAAGATCTCAACTTTCACCCAGACTGTCTCCTGCCCATCTTGGGGAGAGGGGAGGCGGGGGGTGGGGAGGGAGGGGGGCAGAAACACTCCTAGAACCTCACCCTACTGGCCTACAAGTGGGAGATAGCTTTAGGGCCTCAGACCTGTGAATGTGGTGGTTGGTGTGGTGGACAGCAAGTCACTCAGGTGTGGGTACAGGTAACAGTCTTAGGTGTTCACCCAGCACCTGGGGGTGCAGGAGTTGGTAGTAGTGTTAGGGGTAGAAAGGGAATATGGGGATAGGTCTCCTGTCTAGGGTCCTCAGGAAGCCCCCAGACAGTTGTCCAGCAGGGTCAGACCCTGGTCACTTGAGAAGAGCAGCTCAGGGCAGTAGGGGGGTGACAAGGTAGAGACAGAGCCCAGGATCCTTCTATCATGGTGTTGAGGAGCTGCCTTGGCCCCCACCACAGGCATGGAGACCTGTCCAGAGAGGGATTGCATGTGCGTCCAGCCAGAGTATCACTGCGGAGATCCAGAGTGCAACAACTGCAAGCACCACCCATGCCCACTGGGCAAGGAGGCACAGGCCCAAGGTGAGTCTCGAGGCTGCCAGAGCAACTGAGTGAGTATGTGGGTAGGTGAGCAGGCAGGCATGATGTAGGTGTGAGAGAGGTGGTCTTCCCTTAGGTCTCTCCTTCTAGTTGAGGCTGTCAGTGCCTCCTCTTCACTGGCTGTATTTCGAGCATGGGACACCCAGCATGGGACAGCTTGACAACCAGCCCTGTCCTCTACTCCCTAACATAGTCCCACTGGAGATCAACCCTTTCCTTCTCTGGAATGTGCGTTGTACCGCCTCTTGAGGTCGAGCCACCTGTGATGGGTGGGGCTGGCTGAGAGTCAGGAGCTGGGGGTGGGGTTTACATTAGTGGATAAGGACTGGGGTCGCCTGTGGGCTGTGGTTGGAGGGGAGGTTGCTCCATCTGAGCCAGCAGGGTGTCAGCTTCAGTCCCTTTCTCTGGGACCCCTGCTGCTGGCTTCCTGGTCTGTATCTGCTGGTTTTTCCTACTGAGTCCTCCCTCCAACCCACACCATTTTGCGCATGTCCACCTGAGATAACCGCTTTACCCACAGGGGTCTGGAACAGGCCAACTTGCTGCTTTATCCCAGAACTTGCGTCTCTTCGGGTCTGCAATCCTGTGGCCTCGAAGATCTCTGTTGAATGGATGGCTTGGTGGGGTGGGGGGTGGGGGACACTGTCATTGCAACCCCACGATATCCACCCAGCACCCCTGCAGCCTAGCTGTCTGTTCCCAGGGAATTTCAAATTTGGCTTTACATGCATTGACTGTGCTCCTGGAACCTTCTCTGAGGACCATGCTGGCCATTGCAAGCCGAGGGCTGAGTGAGTTCTGGGGGACCTCTGGGAGGATCCAAGGAGCCTAGAGCCACTCTGGGGGGACCAGGCTGGGAGCTGAATGGTATCTCCACACTCCATCCCAGTGCAGTGACACCCAGGGCCCCATGGTAACCCCTAAACAGCTCAGAGGAAGCAGCTTGGGGAGTACTGCCTGGTCACCGCCCTGAGGGTACCTCTCTGTGTGTGTCCAGCTGTTCCCGGCTTGGATTCTCCACTGTGTTTCCCGGAAACAAGACTCACAACACTGTGTGTAGCCCAGTGTCCACTACTGAGCCATGCCACCTGCTGACCCTGGTCCTACTTGCTATGGCCACCTGCATCCTTGTCCTGGCTGCCACCCAGCTGGGCCTGTGCATCTGGGAGCTAAGGAGAACACGTGTGTGGCACCGAGGTCAGTTGTGCCCTGGGTGGGGAGCTGGGGTTTCTAGCCACCACTGACAGTTTCTTCCTGCAGGGACGCAGCTGCCCCTGGAGCTATCACCCGCTGAGGACTCTCGAAGCTACCAGTTTCCTGAGGAAGAACGTGGGGAGCGGCTGGTGGAGGACAAGGGCCATGGCCGGCACAGGGACTTGTGGGTGTGAGGCCTGGCTACCTTCTTGAGTGGCTGGAGTCCTGGACTTGCAGTACAAAGCAGACCCTCCCAGAAGCTGGCCCAAGTGTGAGGGGAGGCGGGTCCTGCTTCAGCCCCAGCTCCGGGCCCAGCCCTGCTCCCCGCGATGGTGGAAGTGGGTGTGAGATGGTGAGCAGTCATGTGCCCCTTGACCATGCAGAAGAGGCAGTTGTAGTGGCTGGGCCTTATGGGAGACACAGACCAAGCTTTAGCCACAGTCCTTCCCTTGCCAGCCCTGCTGGGTGGAGTCCACAGGCCAGAATGCTGACCTGGCCCAAGAGCTGTACCGTGGGCACCCTGTGCTTGGTCCAGTCTGGTGGTCTGTTAATTAACACTTGTTGAATTACTTACATGGAAGTGTTTTTTGGGTATTGGGTCGCTGCACAGGGTGTCATGAGGGGACAGACAAGGTCTGTCCTCCCCTGGGGGTTCCCAGCTGGGCTTGGGTGGGAACAGTCAGGGAACATTCCAGTCCTGGCACAGAGGCTAGGCTCTGGAGGCTCCAGAAGACTTGTTGTGCTGTTACAATCCCACCTCCTCTGCCTGTGGCAGCCCTGTCCAAGCCCCCCTCCCCGATCATCTGCCGAGAGAAGCCACAATGGGGGCGGGGAGGGCAGGATCCCTCCCCTCCAGAGGCCCAGGGAAAGTCTTTGCTGGCCTTACTCAGATGCTGTGCCCAGGAGGAAATCGGCCCAGCATTCACTATCTTGGGGGACAGCCTCAGAGTGATCTGGGTTGGCCTTGCTGGCCCCCTCCCCTCTACTGGCTGCCAGCTGTTGTGATAAGAACCTTAACACACTGTCCTGGGTGTGACTGTGCCCGCCCCACATCCCACACCAGCGCAGACCAGTTTCGGCAGGAGCACCCTCAGGGTGCTGGCACACCTGGTCCCATCCTCTGCCTAAAATGCCAGCCCCTAGACATGGAGCCTCCCCCAGTGCCCCACTCCTATTTCAGTAATCTCCCTGACTCACCTGTCCCCCACTTGCAATGGGCCCAGCTCATAGGGAGGAGCTCTTGACTCCCCACCTCTGCCCTGTCCACACTGCATAACACATAGGCTTCTTAGAGCTACTGAGGGAGGAGGCAATGCTAACCTGATGCAAGGGGCTTGGGGACATGGACTGTGAAGAGCCCAGTTTCCCAGGGTGGCAAGGGGACTCCTGGGAATGGTGGACAATGCCCTTGAACCCTGAAAGCAGGTTATCAATGATTCCTCAGGACTTGACTCAAACAAGATACCCTACCCACCCACTTCCCCTGCCCGCTGTGGTCTTGGACTTGAGAGTGAGGCCTTGTGGCAGGAAGAGGCACATACTAGCAGAATAAACCAGTAGAGAAAATGCCCCCAATCCAGGCTGCCAGTGACTTGGAAACAGGTCTGGGTGGCAGTCAGGGGCTGAAATGGGAGGGACAACAGCACTAACCATGACTGGAGGAAGAGGGCCTGGAAAGGACACCATGAAAGAGACCCAGGGGACAGTTTAGCCTTGCTGAAGCCCTGCCCCCCACCACTTCCTCTCCCAGAGTGCTTGTGGTCATCCTAGGACCCTCCCCAAGCACAAACTCCACTCTGCACCATGGGGGGAGGGAGTTAGGGACACCACAGACTCTGGGACTGTCCCAGGAAACCAGCTGGTGACGTGCCTGAACTGAGATTCTGGGCACTGAGCCACCTGAGTCAGCGCGGAAACTCCTCATACATAGCCAGCCCCACATTGCGTGTCATGGGGCGGGTGGCAGGAGTGCTGACAAAGGGTGGGTGGGGGATTCCAAAGTGGGGTGGGGGATTCTTGTGGGCCCCTTCCCTCTCCAGTCAACACTCTCATGAGTCCCTATGGGGACTTGTGTTCTATGTCCTTAGCTGACCACCTTCTTCATTGTCCTTTCCTGGTACCACCCTGTCTACAAGGTGTCCCAGCTCCCACTAGAAGCCATCTGAGGTTGTTTATACTTTGCCAGACTGTAAAGCTGTTTGAACTGCAAGGTCAATAATTCAAGCTCACCAGTTGTTCCTCAGAAACTCTATACAGGGTTGCTATGGGTCGGAACCAACTCAATGGCACTTAACAACACCCCCTGAGATCTCCAGGGACAAAAAGGTGCTGGGAAAAGGGCCAAAGCAACTTTAGGAGTCAGGGGCACATGGAAGGGAAGCGGTAGCGGACTCTGGACTTTGGGAGGTGTTGAGGAGTAATCCCCATCCAGCAGCTTTAGCTCTGCCCCTGGTCCCCCCTGGTACTGGCTTCCCTCTAGATCTCCCCTCCAGCCATCCTTCCATATCCCCAAAGCCCACAGACTTTTGTCAGGACCCCTGCTCTGGGTGCAGTAGCTGGCACACAGTAGGACTGAATTGGGGTGGGTGAACAGAAAGGGGTGCCCAAGGGTTCAGGCTGGAGTCCTGCTGTGGGGCAGGAGGTGTCGAGTGGAGGTGGACCAAAGTCTCACCCTGGGCTCTAGGTAGGGGACACATGACAAGTCCAAGTTTGGAGCTAAAAGGGTGAGGGGGAAAGCAGGGCTCCAGGCCCAGAAATATTGTATGGGGCGGTGTGAGGAAGGTGTGCAGGGGTTTCTAGGGGAGACCCTGCCTTGCCAGTAACTCTGTGCCCTCAGGAGCCAATGTCAGCTGTTCCGGAAACCATGGCCCTTTTCCCACACTTGTTATAGCGGTTGTCTGTTCAGCCTCAGATAAGGGCCTCAGATAAGGGTCCACCCTCTTGTTCCCAGAAACACTTCCGGCCACAGTGGTTCCCACCCAACCTCCACCCCCCTCACCTGACTCCTGCCCCTCCCTACACTGAGACTCCTCCAGTGTGGGGATCCCATCCCCAAAGCTGGACAGAGTGCTAAGGTGGGAGCAGGGATAGGGACAGAAGGGGGTTTTCCTTCATAGCCTGGACTGGCCATTGGCCCTCTTTGCCTGGTCTCAATCTCAGAACCCCAGGGGCCAGTGGAGGGGGCCGTGGTCCCAGGCTGCCCCACTTGATGGAACATTGGGACCACTAATCAAATAGACCTGGTAGAATAATGGTTGCGAATCTGGCTGCGAACCTCAAGGTCAGCAGTTTGAAACTACCAGCTGTTCCATGGGAGTAAGATGAGGCGCTCTGCTCCCAAAAAGATTTACAGCCTTGGAAACCCTGTACAGGGTCGCTATGAGTCGGAACCGATTCCATGGCACATAACAACAACAACAACAATCAAATAGACCAGGCTGCCAGGCCACTAGGGGCCCTATCCACCCTCTCTGCTGTGGCTGACTATTCATTTGGGATGTGGCCTTACCTCCCCTATGAGGTCTTCAAGGTCCCCCAAACAGCTTTGTTGGGGGCAGGGAAAGGAGACACAAGCCCCCACCCACCACGGATGCAGTCTTTCTAGGAAGCTTCAGCTTGGGGTCCTTTTAAGAGTGCTCCTTGTATCTCATTAAACAGTTTCCAGAGACTGAGGGGGACCCAAATGACTGGGCTGCTGGGAGTGTGATGAATCTGGGGGGAGTGCTCCATGGGCTTGCAGCCCCCATTTCTTGGGGCTTCCTGTGTGGCTGGCCGTGGACCCTGTGTGTCAGAGGTTGAGTGAGACCCCAGTGAGTGCCCAGATAACAGCCTGGACCCACCTGTTCCTCAGAATAGACAGGGACTCAGGGATGGTGTTAGAGGTGGGTAGGTAGAGGAGTGGGGGAAGATGGTGGTGTGTACCCCTGGATCAGAGCTGGAGAGCTCTAGAACCCACCCACATGTTCTGCAATGGAAGGCACTGAGTTCTCCCAGTATTCCCTTCTGGAGAATTCCCTCCAGAGAGGGCAAGTGGGAAAGGATGAGAAAGAGGAAGGAGGTGGTGGGAAGGAGAAGGGGACAGAGAAGCAGGAGAGGAGGGACAGAAGGAGAGAGGAGTAAGGGAAGGGGCGGAAGATGGAGGGCAGCCCTTCAGGAAGTGGCTCCACACGTGTCTCCTGAAGCCACAGCAGGGGTCAAACTCAGGGGTGCAGGTAGAGTGGGGGACCCAGATGATTGTATAACACCCCCAGAGTGAAGGAGTAGCACTCTCAGAAGGCTTATTTATTCACTGATATCTGCTCAGGCTTTGAAGGGTAGGGGGCCACCAGGCAGCAGGTATAGCCCAAACCTTCGGTGGTAACCTGGGAGTTCAGGATAGGGCAGCCACACTGCAGATGTGACATTCCTCCCCTAGGCCCAGGTTCCAAGTAGGTTCTCAGGTGGTACTATTCCCTCTTCAGCAGCAGGGAAATGTACCTGGGGCTTCTCCTGCAGAGTGACATGGGGGGAGGGGCACAGGACCCCTGGCCAGTGGGGAGCGCTGAACAGTGCTGACGACCACCATGGGGACACACACCATGGGGACCATGGTCATAAGGCATCACAGTATTGGGAACATCACGGCATTGGCCAGGCCAGTGTCTTTGGAAAGGGAAAGGGGTGGGAGACATCAGATACAGATGCCAGAATGGAGTCAGGACATGGGAGGACAATAGTGGTGTTGGGAGGCGACCCTGTGGGGATTTCCAAAGATACCCTATGTGAGGCTGCCTCAAATCATCTCTTCTGACCTCGGCCTCAATTCCCTGTCTTCAAGTATCTGAGAGGCAATTTAGAGGGGGAGAGCCCACCTAGATCTGCTGGAAGGGACTGGGGGCTTCAGGACCCTGGTCATACAGTGACAAATGTGTGCTCTTGCCTCTCAACTGGGATCCCACACAGTAGACTGCAGTTATCACTGCAGCAGGTGGGGTCCAGCAGGGTGGGTGGGGTGGGACAGGACAGGATGTGACTATCGGGGTCACAGTTGCTGTGGGGTCATCTTCTTTCCTCTCTGAGCCTTAGTTTCCTCTTTTCTCCAACAGGGACAGTAGAAATTGTTGGGACCCCCTTCCTCTGCCTCTGTCCCAATGCACCCGCTCCTTGCCCTTTGCCTTCGTGACATACGGCGGTCGAGGGCGCCCTCTAGCGGTGCCTGACTATGGGCCCCCCGCGGAAACGGGAGTCTGAGCCCACTCCTCCGAGCCAACTGAGTATCTCCTCAAGAGCCTCCCTCAGTGCCCAGACTGTGCTGGGGTCGAAGTCTCGGGTCTGAAGGGTTGTTGGTGGGGGCAGGGTAGGAGTTAAACCTATTGCGAAAGGCAGGGCATCAGGAGCATCAAGGGAGGGGGAAATTGGAGAGGTGGGGAGCAGACAGGGTGCTGATGACAGGTGAGATGGGCGCTGACTTGCGTCGGGGGGTACAAAGAGGCTTTGTACCGACTCTGAGGGCCTGGAGCTGCTGGTGAGAGGTAGAAGAGGGTGATGGGTAGGCTCTAATTTGGAGGAGGAGGAGGTGGCTTTGAGGCGTGGTCTCCTTCCAGGTCAGCATCTTGGACTCAATCTCTTTGCGCCCTGGGCGCAGACTGCCAGAGTCCCTCCCCGACTGCCCCCGCCCCCGCCCCTAATTTGTGGGAGCAGGGGTATCTGGGCTGAGGAGCTGGCAGGCGAGGGCAGGGGGCTGCTCAAGTGGTGGGCTCCCCATTCTGCGGTGGCAGAGGCCCCTCTTTCCTTGCCTACGGACCCCCTTCCCTACCTCGTCCCAAGACCGGCCTCTGAGACCGAGCAGAGGAAGTGGCTGAGGGCCAGAGGAGGGCGTCCATCCGGGATCTCTAGGGCGCGTGAAGGGCGGGCGGGCTGAGCTCTGCCTGACCTGCTGCGAAGCCGCGTTTGTAACAAAGTAGCCTTTATAGGTCCCTGAGAGGGCGTGTGCCAGGGGCGCTACTGGTTAGGAGCCCCGGTGGCCTGCGGCTTTGCGTTCCTTGGCCTCCTCATGATCGTCCTCCGCTGGCCCCGGGTAGGGCTCGGGCGCCAGGGCCTCGCCAGTAGCTAGCTGCAGCCCTGCACCCGGAGCCTCGGCGTCCCAGAGGTCAAGCGGGGGCCTGGTGAGGCCGGGCGCAAGGTTTTCAGCCTCCTGGGGCTGCCGAGAGCGCCGCTGGGCCGTGGAGGGCCTCCCACTGCCTGCACCCCGGGGCGGCCCTGGCCTGCGCGCACCCGGCCTGTCCGGGGCCGGGGTCTGGGACTGCGGCGCCGAAGGGCCGGTTTCGCAGGAGGGCCGGGGTCCCGACGGCACGGGTGGGGGGCGGCAGGCCAGGCGGGAGCCGCTCAAGCGCGGCCACAGGTCCGTCTCACCGTTATGCAGAAGCACAAAGCGGCGCTGCGACAGTAGGGGCAGCATCTTTTGGCCACGCAAGCTCTTCTGGAAGGTTTCCAGCGCCAGGTCTGTAGGTGTAAGGAAGGCGACAGAGGGGTGTTAGCGGGTGGGCGGCGGGAGGAATAAAGACCGTAGGGAATGGGACTTAGGTTTTTCTTGGGTTGGGGAGATGAGGTGAAAGATAGGGTGATCTTTTTCTGCAAACATGAGCAGAGGTATGGGGCTCCAGGCAGGCCCTTCTTTTTGGGTTGGAGGGCCAGGTTTGTGGGCATCTGCATTTGGGGGAGAGGGTGAGAAGGCAGTGAACAGGGGTCCTGACGGTGTGTAGGCACGAGGGGCTCACCCAGTGTCTCCATGACCACGCCAGGGATCACTTCTTTCAGGACCTCACAGTTGGTGTGCAGAGCAGGGTTGGAGTTCATTTCCAGCAGCCACACCTGAACCAACATTGGTCAACAGCTCTCATCCCCAAGCCTGGTCCCCATTAAGCTGGACAGGGCACTGTGTCGGTGGCCTCATTTCCCTTATTTGCTCAGGAGCTAAAGCTCTTAAGGGTTTGTCTGCTCTGAGTAGGGGGTACAACTCAGCTCAAAAGGGAGCAAGGGGTTCAGTCTCTTTGACATGGTACATCCCAGGACTTGGTGGGTGGGTTACGGTGGGATCTGGCTGGACCATCAGGCTATGCACAGATGGCACCTGCCTACTTGTGTCTACCAACCTGGTTCTATCACCCCCAAACTCAACCGCACCTTGAAGTTCTCATCGATCAGGAAATCACAGCCTATGAGATCAAAGAAGCCCAGCTTGCACTCCAGCTTGGATTTGACAGCCAGGAAGCAGTGGGCCATGATCTGCTGCATCCGCTTCTGTGGGTGGGAGGACTGTTGGTTAGGGCCTGCCACCTACCTTTCATCTCCGCCTGAACAGTCTAGCCACATTGCTCATCTGCAGCCCTCGTCTGTACCATCACCTGCATAACTACACTTCACACGTTCACACTGAAACCCTCAGAGTCACATGCTCACAGCCAGAAACTCATTCGTACCAGTTTTATTCTGCAAACAGTTTTATTCAACTAATTCATGGAGCTTCTATGATGTACCATGTACTAGGATACAAGAAAGAGCAAAGAGTACAAGGAACTGGTACCCTTCCCCAGCTCCTTCATACCAGGGGAGACAGACACATGTAATACACAGATTATTATGTGTCCATTGTCCAGCATAGTGCTAAGTGAAAAAGGCTATCTGGAGTTGGTGGGGTGTGTAATGTCAAATAGGGCATAGTCTGGCTGGATTTCTCTAAGGGGACGGTGGTGGTTGCATGCCATGGAGTTGGTTTGGACTCATAGAAACCCTGTATAGGGTTTCTGAGGTTGCAAGTATTTACATGAGCAGAAAACCTCATCTTTCTCCCAAGGAGCAGCTGGTAGATTCGAACTGCTGACCTTGCAGTTAGCAGCCTAACTTGTAACCGACTACACTAGTGAGCAGAAAGCAGGAGGAAGAGCCATGGTGATGTGATATCCGAGGGAAAGAGGGATAGTTGTCAGTTGGACACATGCTTGTGTTTGAGGAACACAACAAGGCCACTGTGGCTGGGGTGGCGAGGAGGAGGCAGGGCCACAGAGATGGTGCTGGTCAGAGCGGCAGGAACAGGGGTGGACCTTTGATGCAAAGCGTTTCAGGTTGAACATAAGAGGTCTGCATAAGTGTTCTAGTCCTAGGGTCTGCTGTGCTGGGAAAAGGCAGAAGGAACTGGGAAGATACCATTGCAATCATTCAGGTGTGAGATGATGGTGGTTTGGGTAGGTGGAGGTGGTGGGGCTCTGCTCTGGATCTAATTAGAGGGATAAACAATCAGATTGACTGATGAATGGATTGTGAGCTAACCCATCAGTTAGCTCTGAGAGAGAAATGAGCAATGACCCCTACGTGTTTGGTCCGCGAGTGGAAGGAGAGAGCTCCTACTGACTGAGAAGGTGAGATAGCACTGTGGAGTCTGAGAGAACCATGGGCTTGTAGGTGGGGTGCTGGCAGGCAGGAGAGAGGTCACGGTCAGATGGTTAAATGTGATGGATAAACATACCACAAAGGTCGGCGGTTCCAACTCACCAGCTGCTCCTCAAAAATCCCATACAGGGTCACTATGAGTCAGAACCCACTCGATGGCACTTAACAACAAGAATATAAATGGAATTTAAAATGAGAAGATGAGTTGCCTTTGCCAACAGGTGTAGATAAAGGGAAGAGTGTCCAGCTGAGCCTGGGTCTTCAGTGTGCAGAGGTCTGGCAATGAGGGGCCAGCCAGCACAGTGGACCAAGAGGGCGTGAGCAGTGGTCTGGAGGCCACAGGAGAAAGTACATCAGGGAGTTAGTGGTTGTATCCAAAGTGGCTGATGGGTTAGGTAAGAGGAGGGCTGGGAACTGGCCCCATGGATTCAGCCAGACGGAATTACCAGTGACCTCAACAAGTGGCACCGCAGAGCACGGAAATTTCAAGGGTATAGGTTCAAGAGAAACAAGGACATCACCAGAAATGGTGTTGAGTTCAGCTCTCCATAAATGCTACCAAAACAAACACACACACAAATAAAACCAGCTGGAAAACACGATCGGAATAAACATGTAAAGAACTCTGAAAATTAACCAAAGTTTTACAGGACTCAGGGGCCAAATCTCAGTACAAAATAAAAGTGGCCAAATCTCAGTACAAAACTGAATTTTATGTTGTCTTAACATGCCCTAGATTCATACCCTGCTCCCTAGCTTAGTGGCAGCCTTGAACAGGCCTCATTCAAAAAAATTGTAATGCTTTGTTTTGCCCTAGAAAATACCACTTGAAAGGCTTGTCTTGATTTTAACTTGATTCAGATTTTGCCCAGTACTAACAGCCTCTCCCTACCACTCATCTGTCAATTTGTCATACTGTGGTGGCTTGCATGTTGCTATGATCCTGGAAGTTATGTTAAATACCAACAGAGTTACCCCAGACTGGACAAGTTTCAACTGAGCTTCCAAACTAAGACAGACTAGGAAGAAGGAGAGGAGAACTACTTAATGTTTAGCCACTGAAAACCTTATTAATAGCAATGGAACACTGTTAGCACCAGAATATTGAATATTGAAACATGATGAATAGCACCAAAATATTGTCAGATACAGTGAAGGAAGATGAGCCCCCAGATTGGAAGGCACTCAAAATATGACTGGGGAAGAGCTGCCTCCTCAAACTAAAGTTGACTGTAATGATGTGAATGGAGTAATTAATGCCTTTGGGATCTTCATTTATTGATGGGATACAAATCAAAATGAGGAAAAACAACTGTAAACATCTACTAGTCATCAGAACATGGAATTATGGAGCATGAATCTAGGAAAACTGGAACTTGTAAGAAATGAAATGGAATGCATAAAGATTGATATTCTAAGCATTAATGAGCTGAAACAGACTGGTATGGGCTATTTTGAATCTGAAAATCATATGGTTTATTATGCTGGGAATGACAAATTGAAGAGGAATGACATCACAGTCGTCATAAAAAAGAACATTTGAAGATCTATCTTGAAATATAATGCCATCTGTGATAGGATAATATCCATATACCTACTACAAGGAAGACCAGTTAATACCACTAATGTCAGTGATGATGAAATTGAAAAATTCTACCAGCTTCTTCAGATTGAAATTGATCAAATATGTAATCAAGGTGTATTGATAATTACTGGTGATTGAAATGCAAAGTTTGGAAACAAAGAGGAAAGGACAGTAGTTAGAAAATGTGGTCTTGGTGATAGAAACTATGCTAGATATCACATGATAGAATTTTGAAAGACTATTCATTGCAAATATCCATTTTCAACAATGTAAATATACACATGAACCTCACCAGATGAAATGCACAGCAATCAAATTGACTACATCTATGGAAAAGCTCCATATTATCAACGAAAACAAGGCTGGGGCAGACTGGAACAGACCATCAGTTGCTCATATGCAAGTTCAGGCTGAAGCTGAAGAAAATTAAAACAAGTCCACGAGCGCCAAAATATGACCTTGAACATATCCCACCTGATTTCAGAGATCATCTCAAGAACAGATTTGATGCATTAGATCCTCATGACCAAAGATTAGTAGAGTTGTGGGATGACACAAAGGACATCATACAAGAAGAAAGCAAAAGGTTATTAAGAAGACAGGGAAAAAAGTAAAGACCAAATGGATGTCACTTGCTCTCCAGAGTAGAGATGCTAAAGCAAATGAAAGAAATGAATAGGCAAAAGAGTTAAATAGAAAATTTCAAAGGGCAGCTTGAGAAAACAAGTATTATAGTGAAATGTGCAAAGACCTGAAGATAGAAAACCAAATGGGAAGAACATGCTTAGCATTTCTCAAGCTGAAAAAACTGAAGAAAAAAATTCAAGCCTTGACTTGCAATATTGAAGGATTCTGTGTGGATCACGACAAGCAAAAACATCAGAAGATGGAAAGAGAGTTCTGGTTCTGATGTGACTGCCATCATTGCTGGTGCTCAGTTGTCATGGTTGGTGGGCAGAACAAGAGCCAAGATGCTATGGAATCTTCTGGATCGTTGTCAAATTGCCCAGAGGACCATGTGTACAGCTTCATGTATGAAGTTTGAAAAAAATAAAGTTCCATAGAAACAAAAGCTATTTCAGGAGGGTAATGGAATTCTAGTGCAACTAAAGGGTGGGGCAGCTGATGCCCTCCTGTCTACAGCCATCATGCTTCTTAACAGTGGATGCTATATATTAGCTGGCCATGGTTTCATTTCTCAAGAAGCAGGATTGACTTCAATTTATCATCCCAGCTGTTGGTTCAGTTTAATTCAGAGCTCTATGGACCAGTAATCTGATAAATAAAAGCTCTCCTTTGGGGATCAGTGTTTATTGACTTGTACTAACTGCCACAAATAAAGCAATTTTTACCATTACAAAAAAAAAGAGAAGAAGAAGAAGATGGAAGGAATACACAGAGTCACTGTACCAAAAAGAAATGATCGATGTTCAACCATTTCAAAAGGTAACATATGATCAGAAGTCAATGGTTTTAAAGGAAGACGTCCAACGTACACTGAAGACATTAGCAAAGAACAAGGTTCTGGGAACTAATGGAATACAAATTGAAATCTTTCAAAAAACTGATAGAGCATTGAAGGCATTCACTTATCCATGCCAAGAAATTTGGAAGAGAACTACCTGACCATCTGATTGGAAGAGATCCATATTTGTGCCTATTCGAAAGAGAGGTGATCCAATGGAATGCGGAACTCATCGGATAATATCATATGCAAGTAAAATTTTGCTAAAGATAATTTAAAAAATGGCACAGTAGTACATTGACAGCGATATGTCAGAAGTCCAAGCTGGATTCAGACAAGGATGTGGAATGAGGCATATCGTTGCTGACTTCAGACAGATTTTGGCAGAAAGCAGAGACTGCCAGATAGATGTTAACCAATGCTTTACTGACTATGCAAAGGCTTTTGATTGTGTGGATCATGACAAGCTATGAATAACACTGTGGAAAATGGGTGCTCCCAAACACTTAATTATGCTCATGAGGAGCTGTACACAGACCAAGAGACAGTTGTTTGAACAGAACAGGAAGACAATGAATGGTTTAAGCCAGGAAACATGT